TCATTGTCCTGTCTCAATTGTGTCGGCGGGGTTTCGCTGCATTTCCACGTTTCTAAGCCTGTCTTCCCCTCACTTCATATAGTTAATTCCTCGGGCTTTGTCGCGACCTTTCGAGCGCGGCGAGCATCAACTGCTCAAGTTGGTCGACCTTCGTAAGAAATACCTTTTTTTATATTTACCCCACCGCCGACCGACCTATCCGAAGAGTCTCCTTCTTGTGGTTTTAATGTTTTAATCCCATGGCCGTCCATGCCATCCACCGCGGTGTGTGTAAACTTTTTTCATCTCTCACAATCTCCATTTTTGTTTTTGAGTATACCTCTTTTTGGGTAGGTTAGCCTGTGACCACGGGAATCCACCGCGAAAAGTGTTATGGGCTAATAAGGACGGATGAAGACAACAATAACGTTAACCTCCTTGTTTACTCGCTCATTCGTATCATCGTCATGGCATTTGTTTTCTTTTTCGTGTTTTTTTGTGGCAGATGAGCTCGTTCGAACCGTCATCATTGCCTGCTCTCTCTCCTCATCCCCTCATCCCCTCATTTGTCGGTATTTTTGTCGGTATTTTTGTCGGGCAGATGAGCTCGACGCTGTCGACCTTCGCCAAGTCTCAGATGGCGGCCAACGAGCGGGAGTCCGAGCTGAAGGATGCACGGAGGGCGCTGGAAGAACGCCTTTCCTCTCTAGAAGCAGAGAAGGTGCGATTTCCCTCCGGGCGCAGTCGCAGGGGGGGGCGGGGGGGGGGCGTACTCTTCTGAACACATGCCGTAATGGAAAACCATAAACCTCGCATCCTTACAATGCCGGGACGGAGTAATATGCCGGGTTTTCCCCGGCCCAGGCTACCGCAGTCCCAGGACGGTGGGGGGGGGCGTCCGTGGGGCTGTCCCAAAACCCCAACAGCGCTGTCCGGGATAAATACTGGGGAGCCCTTACGTGGGGCCCTTGAAATGTCCTCCCTCGGGTCTTGGGGACCATGACTAAAAACCAACGGTGTACGTTTTCCCAAGTCTGAAGAGCCGGGGGGTGGGGGGGGGGGGGAAACCATTGG